AATGGTTTAATTACTTCCGAAGAGATTATTTTTGCAATTAAACAATTGAAGGTTGGTAAGACTCCAGGTACTGATAGGTTAACAGCAATTTATTACAAGATGCTATCTGAAGGTATGATAGAACCATTAAAGGAACTCTTTAATGATATTTTATCTGGAGCAGAGTTACCTCCATCTTGGAGAACAGCCTTCATATCATTAATTCCAAAGGATGACCAGGATCTGTCCCAACCTAGAAATTATAGGCCTATATCTCTTTTAAATACTGATTATAAGATTTTTGCAAAGATATTGGCAAATAGATTAATGCAGGTTTTGAAACAATTGATTCATACTGACCAATCTGGATTTATAATGGGGAGATATATGAAAAACAATGTAAGACAAATTGTTAATTTAATAGAGTATTTGGATAAGAACAACCAAATCCCTGCTGCTTTAATATTTATAGATGCTGAGAAAGCTTTTGATCAATTAGATTGGAATTTTCTATTGAAAGATGTAGAGGAAATGAATTTTGGAGATAAATTTTTGTCTGCTCTCAAGGCCATTTATCAACAACAATCGGCACAAATTATAATTAATGGGGGATTAACTGACGTATTTAAAATAGGAAAAGGTACAAGACAGGGCTGTCCTTTATCCTCCTTGTTATTTGTATTAACAATGGAGATTTTACTTATTAAAATTCAAGATTCATCTAGATTAAAAGGAATAAAAATAAGTAAGATTGATTATAGGCTGAGAGCTTTTGCTGATGATTTGGTTGTGACGTTATCCTATCCAACAGATTCGGTCAAAGACTTGGTTGAAATTTTAGTACAGTATGGACAGGTCTCTGGTTTTAAGGTAAATAAGAATAAAACTAAAATATTATTGAAAAATATGTCTAGGAAGGGAAAAGATTTTATAATTGAAATAACAGGTTATGAAATAGTTAATAAGGTTAAGTATTTAGGAGTCTATATTACAACATCTAATGGAAAATTGTATAAGAATAATTATGAACGCTTATGGGTTAAAGTTCAAAAAGATTTAAATGATTGGCAAAAGCTACAACTATCGTTATTGGGGAGAATTTCAGTAGTGAAGATTAATGTTCTACCAAAGTTTCTTTTTTTGTTTCAGATGATTCCCATTTTAAAGAAGGATGCTAACTTGGATGAGTGGCAGAAGGGTATTAATAAATTTATTTGGGGTGGGAAGAAATCAAGGGTAAAGTTTAAGATTTTACAAGATGCTCGAGAAAGAGGTGGACTTAAAGCACCAAATTTGAAATTATATTATGATGCGGCCACTTTAACTTTAGTAAGTGACTGGCTTAATTTAACAAATAGAGACATTCTTGTTCTTGAAGGGTGGGATTTATTACATGGTTGGCACGAATATTTAATTTTTGATAAGAAAGTAGATTGGGTTTTTAAGTCACATATTTTAAGATAAGCTTTACTTCGAGTTTGGAAAAAATATTATTATAAGCTAAATTATAAAATACCTATTTGGGGGATTCCTGGACAAGCAATTCAGGGGGTTTCCAAGGGGGTGAATTTTGATAACATTTCGTATAAAGTGTTACTTATTTGGTCGGGTACTGATTGGCAATTAAAGTCTTCAGATGTGTTGAGGCAAGAAAATATTTTACAATCGTGGTTTCAATATTTGCAAATAGTGCAGAGATGGACTTTGGATAAGAAAGTGGGAATTACTTTAGTAGATGAAAATTTGGTAATCCAGATCAAGGATCAGAAATATGCCCATATTAAAAGAATTTACAATGAGTTAATAAAATTGGATTCAGAAACAGAGTTGTTAAAGACTGTATGATTAAATGGGCCCAGAATATTCAGGAACTGATTTCATTGGATTTATGGGAGGTAATTTGGACCAGAAATGTTAAATTTACGCAGGCCCAAAATTTGAGGGAAATTTTTTATAAAATGTTTTATAGATGGCATCTGGATCCTAAAAAGTTGTCCTGTATGTACCTGAACCTGCAACCTAAATGTTGGAGATGTGGTTGCTTGGATGCAACCTATTTTCATGTTTGGTGGACTTGTAAAGATATTAAAGCCTTCTGGATTATGATTTGGTGGAACATTCAAAAGGTTTTTAAAAGGAAGATTAAGTTTACTCCCCAACTGATTCTTTTGGGCATTTTTGTGGATTTTAATGTTAAAGAAAATATTTTATTGTTGAATTTAATAACAGCAGCAAGATTATTGGTGGGTCAATATTGAAAGAAGGATACTCTGCCTTCTTTAGAAGAATGGGTATTTAAGGTTTCTAATTTAGCAGAAATGGCTAAAATTTCTGCTTATTTAAAGGACTATTCACAAGAGAGATATTTTAATGTATGGAGAAGATGGATAGAATATGTTCAGAAGAAGTATGGAACTACAAAGTTTCATTTATTTTATGAGTAATGAATTTGTTTATAAATTTATGATGTTAAAGTTTGAAGAGAGTTAAGGGTTAATATGATTTTGTTCATTGTATAATTATAAACTTAAATAGATTATGTTTAATATGTTTGTATAATCCTGTACTTAGCTCTGGGAAGTGGGGGGGAGGGGTGGATGGGTCGAAGTTTAAGTAGTTCAGATAAAGTAGAAATAGTTTTACTGTATATAATATTAATGTTCCAATTTAGAGAGAGGAATTGCTCGGGCATTTCCCCTGGACCGCATCCGGAGCGAGAAGGTAGAAGAAGGTGAGAAGTAAGTAGGAAGGTTGAGGAGAGGTGGAGAGTGAGGAAGAGGAAGAAGAGGGAAAGAGGCAAGTTGGTTGGGGGTGGATGCGGTTTGGGGGGAAATGGGTGGGCAATACCGAAAGTGGTGTGTATCAATTTGCTTTATTTTTTATCTGAAGTATTTTTAAGATTGTAATGTATTGTAAAATTGAAAATAAAAACTTTAAAAAAAATTATCAGAGCTGGCTGGGGTGTTTTTTTCTTCTTTTTCCTCTGTAGGTACTCCTAATCTGAACCTTTTGGAAAGAAAAAGTTCAAAAACATCCCAGTTGTCAGCCAGACCATGGGACTGCCTCACAAGTTGTGGTATGCTATAATTGGGGTTAGTTTAACATGTGGCACAAAGCACAGTAAAACAATCTGTGACTTGTAAATGTGTAAAGCAGTTATACTATTGAATGCAATAGCTGACTTTGCAACTTCATGTGTTTTAATGTTCAGCCCCTGAAAGTGGTGTATGCAGCAAGCCAAAACTACAAAATGTGTCATGTAATTGTGAGACAAGATCTCCACCAATCCTTAGCTACTTCCCTGAACATGACAGTGTCAGCACAAGAAGTGAAGAGTTGTGTCAGATGTATTCTTGATCTTTTATTCCCCTCCCAAAATGGCACGCACTCAATTTTGAAAAGTAACAATGAATCAAACACTTTATTCTGCTTGTTCCTTTTTGTCTATGCATGTAAAATAGGGCAGCAATAACAAAGAAATACTAAACTTCAGTGTTTCTTTATCAGGAATATGGTTTATTTATTTTGACTTCTGAGTACACGGTATTTTAATCTTACATGAGAACAAGTAATATAAATTGGTGAAACAAGCATAGGAAAATGCATTTATAGATACTTTTGAATGATTTGGTCTTTCCAATCGCACCATTAATTTAATGGCTGGAATTGCAATCCCGGGAAAAATCAAAATGTACCAGATTGAACAAATGCAAATAAAATAGAAAACATCGATTTACAACGTAATTCTGTAAATCAGGTTTTCTGTTTAAGAAATTACATTGGTAGAAAATTAGGTACCAGAATTTGAGTTATATTTGTTCAACTACAAATTCTTGCTCTGTTTTTACTCTTGTGGAAGGGTGAAAATGGGTATTATAGAAATTCACAGGGCAACCACATCTTTTAAGCACCTTCCCACAAGCCCAATACCCAATCTTCTCAGTCTCTTTCTACTACTGTTTTTTTTAAATTTATTTATATCTCACCTTTATTATTTTTACAAATAACTCAGAGTGGTGAATATACCCAAACACACCTTTCTCCTCCTATTTCCCTCCACAACAGCCCTATGAGGGGAATTGGATTGGCTTTCATGGATAACACAACGCCTGAACTCATGGTCTGCCACTTTCTAGCCTTGTACCTTAACCAGTAGACCAAACTTCTGCCAATCTTCTTAGTGGTCCATTACCCCAGCCCCTTATCTTTCCAGTGTCTTCAATTTCAGAAATTATAATAAGTGCAATATTGTATGTTTCATTGAATTTTGCACAGAATGTCAAGGTAGGAAAAAAAATGATACCTGCAAATTACACTGAATTTATTCTCCCATCCCATACACATCACTGCAGGTAATTAAGGAGACCATCATCAAATGATAAGGCATACAGCTGGGTACTAGATCTCTCAATTCCCATTTCACATACAGTTACAAAATGGAGAACAATAGAATTTAACAAAAATATATTTAACAGATCTGTACTGCAAATATCCAGCCAGAAAGTCAGACTTGAACTTTCATGCAGGCTTCTGCTGCCACCTAGTGGTCATCTAAGGTTTTGCAGACACAATCTGAGAGCCCTAAAGGAAAAAGACATTTGGCCTGAGAGTATTGACTTCCCATCCCAGAACATGAGCTATCACTAACATCCGATTTTCTCAAACTTTAATATGGATTCTGTCAAATCATTCAAGAGACAATTATTGAAGAACTGCAAGCCTCACATACAGTTGGGCATTGCTGAGGAATAAATTCATGCTCCAAAGCAGAACTCATAAGTGACAGCTTGAGGGCCAAACATGTAGTCCTTGACTTACAACCATTTAGTGACCATACAAAGTTACAGTGGCACTGAAAAAAGTGACTTATAATCAGTTTTCACACTTATGACCATTGTAACATCCCCATGGCCATGTGATCAAAATTTGGATGCTTGGCAACTGGCATGTATTTATGACAGTTGCTCTCTCCTGTGGTCATGTGATCACCATTTGTAACCTTCCCAGCTGGCTTCCAACAAGCAAAGTCAATTGGCGGAGCCAGATTCACTTAATGACTATGATTCACTTAATAACTGCAGTAATTTAACAACTGTGGCAAAAAAGGTCATAAGATGGAGCAAATCTCACTTAACAACTGCCTGATTTTGTTGCTGGTTTTGGTAGCAAAAGGTCATGAACAAAAAAAAAAACAATTTCAAGCCATTTGAGGGGAAAGATTCAGAAAGGATTATTGATGTTTAAACATTAAACAGTTTAAACATGAAGAAACCAGAACCTCCCAAACCCTAACCCTAACCCTGCATAAACTACCTTTAGGGCAAAGGGTGTGTAGCTAAAAGACCGGTGGCCTCTTTATTCTAGCTAAGTCTTATTGACGTGGATACTGTTGTCATGGTATATGAAACAGATAACCTAAAACAGTTGGACAAGAGTTGCTGAGATGCTTGCCTCCGTTAATAAAACAGTAAGGGAGGGGAAAGGTTCACTCATGTGTCCAGGAACCTGACTGTTGTGCAGAGTTTTATAAATCTCTGTATGTTCCAGAAGTTTCTTCTGATTGTGCTTATGGAACTGATGAGAATTATACTCAAAAATATCAGACGACCATCAATTTTATATCTACCATTGGCTCCTGCAGCACTTGCTTAATTATCTACCAAGTGTGATGGAATGTGCATACCTGATGAAGAAGGGGCCTTGGCAAGTGCACTCCAGTTTCCCAAGGAGGAGGCAGGACATAACAGAGAGAAGCCCAAAATAAGCGCTTGTGCAGCCCTGAACTGATGATCGTACCTTGAATCTCTCAGGGTATATCTATTAGATAAGATTATAGCTTTTGTCTGGCAAGATGTTTTCTATTACATGTAAACAAATAAAAAGTTGGACTCAACTGGATTTCACTCTGTTGTTTTGGGCCTTGGGCTTGACAATAAGGAACAATATTGTTTTCAGATAGTAAAGAAGTCTCCCAGCCACTCCTGGTGAGAAGCCCTAGCAGTTTTAAACTTTGAACATTCTGCACATATAACTCGGAATTATTTAACGTGCACAAAACAAAACATATGAGTGCCTCATAGCTTCTCTATTATTATTTTGCAATAGAAGAATTTCTTTGTGAACAGCCAGCAGAATAGTTTTGATTTCTGGGACCCCCTTCTCTTTTGCATATGATGATAGTCTTGCTAGCTAAACCACAACTATTTTCTTCCTATTCTGTCTCATAGAGCTTGTTTTGCTGCTCCTGGTTCCAAACCTTATGCCCTCGGCCTAGTCAATGCACCTTTACAACAGTTCTGGCTTCCTTACTTTTATCACTCGCTTTGTATGACCAAAGCTATTTCCATTGTTTGAGAAGATTTGTGCCATTGTGCTCCATGCTACCCCTTCTTTCCCTTTGTTGGGTAATTAGAGCAATGATTTCCCATCAACTCCTAGTTGGACCACTCCTGTAGACAGCCTTGTCGTGAAAGGCTCTGTTGTTGACATCCTGTGTTAAATGTTGGTAGGTGGATTGAACAATGCACAAAGAAGGTGTATCCATCACTTCCTAAATATTATCATAAGACTGCTGTTATGTAGCCCATAACTGGCATGAGCTTTCAGTATGACCATGGATGCGGGCACTTTTCCCTTCTTTCCCATGGCATTCTTCCTCCTCTTCTATGTCTGTGACATGAATGAACAGGATATGGTGCACATTATTTATCACATGGTATAGGTCAAATAGAATTGATGCATAAGACTGCTGTATCAGGTGGAAATTTTATGCTCGCTGCAATCCCTGTGTTCTCAGCAAATGTGCATAATTTCTGTCTTTCTGCAGTGAAGTGTCAGATGAGAGAGCTCCAATGCTTTTAATCAGGTGTTCATTGCCCCTTTGCAAGCCACCTGTAAGAGAAATCAGTTAGTCTGTATACAATATTTAAGCAAGGTAACAGTGTAGTTCTACAATGATGGAGGGATACAAAGAAAGGAACTAAAAAACTAAATTGAAAAGAGAGTTTATATATACCACTGAAGCTCTCTTTCCTTCTCTCTAGCTCCAAAATCTTGCATCTCATATGGTTCCATGAATAAAATCTTTACAGTGTCAAGTTCATTAATAATTGAAATCAATTACATAATGTATCTTTTTATTGTTTTACTTTTTACTGTGTTTGCATCAGAAGCTTTCTATTAACCACACATTTTTCTGTTACTGTATAAAAATATAAAATAAATAATTCTACAAAGGCAGCATACTAATCTAATTTTAAAATTAAGAATCATAGGTATGGCCAGAGGTAGAATGGTAAACCGTATAAGCTATTCATCATCATCCTAATTCTGGCAGGAAAGGAAATATGTATCCAGAGAAAAGGAAATTACTAAAAATACAACTCCATTCCAGGTAAAAGAAAATTTTCTCAGCTTCTTTTGAGACCAATATTTTATCTAGAATCATTGAGAAGATACATAATACGCTCTCCAATCCATCCAGATGCTATTTTCATTCACATTCTGAACTCAGCAAATACTGCTATGCAAACATGGTGTCGAACACATCAAATGGGGTCTAGTATAAATTCTGTAGTAGAATCTATGGGAACTTACAGCTTTGTCTTTATAAGCTTACATTATCTAATATGCAGATTAGCTCTCCCAAACAGGAGTTCTCTGTCCCAGACGCTCCAGGAGAATCTTAAGTATTACAAAGTGATCAGCTGAACAAAGTTTCATGCAAGAAAACGTAACCAGAACTCCTATGCTATAGGGAAAAGATGCTTGCTGACTTCCTTCCTCAATAGGCGATACAGATTTGGAAATGTCCAAATTCAAGCATGTTGGGCTATAACTCCCATCATGTCTAGCCAAGGTGTTTGTACTTCTATAAATCTAGAGGGGACTTTCCCAGATCCAAGATTGTTCAACTTTATCCTGCCCTCACTTTATGAAAGCAGAAAAGCTCAACAAGATTATGAGAGAAGCCCAATAGGGCAAGTTCACTAACATCACTGTTACGTGGCAATTTGCTGTTAGTTGTGCCTAGTGGAACAATTTAAAAATCTTAAATTTATTGAGTTAGCAGGGAGAAAAAGGCTAATCAGGCAAGCTGACATAGCCCTGATATAAATACAGGAAGTCTACATTCATATTACCTTTTCTATACTGTTGTTATGGAATCTACAAACCCGAAGGTAATCCAAGCAGTCTGTGGGGTGGCACACTTGGGGAAGAAAAATGTGTAATTAGAAATATATATATTTACAGAATGAACTAACTTTATGTGATTTATCTAATTTTTCCTTTTTTAGAGCACCTTTGAGCAATTGAAAATAATTCATATATGACTTGCTGGAGGGAAACTTTTCAAAGGCCGTGAAGGCCTAACATCTGCTTAGAATACTGAAATGAGATTGATACAATGGAATATAACAGAACTTGCTCATCCTGAAAACGTGACTTTTGATATTTCACAACAACTTATTGTTGTTTTTCTGTGATTCTTTATATATACACATACATAAAGAAATATACCTGAACTGGTATGCTGTAAAAAGGGAACAAATAGAACAAATGTCTTAGAAAATTTTGAAACCAATTTTCCTACTGTGGCAAACTCTTGACTTGTGTGTGTGATGCATTGACTGGAATGGGCAGATTATGGACTTCAGATGGGAAACCCTCCAGTTGTGGCCATATGGGGAAGCCACTTTGAGAAGGAATAACTGGTGCTCCTAAAGATGTGTAATGATGATGATGTACAGTTGATGGTTGTGATTTCTCCACTCTTACTGGAACAGGAGCAGTAAGCTGCAGATAAATTTAAAAAGATCAGGATAATATATTAAATACATCAAGTCAAATGATTTAGTGATTCCGATACTGATTTGAAGCTTATGGTTTAAAATCCACTTTTTCTCTTTTGTTTCAGACTCACAAAATACATTAATGAATCGGTGACAAACTTACTTCCCATCATAACAAATTCCACTGAGGGGGGGGGGCAACGTTTCATGTTGCAAAAAGCACAAAACATTTTACTCTATGTTTTCAGCTGTTTTGATTGGAAATGCTAACATATGTTTGAAGTTTGCCAAAACTATTATATGTCTGCATGCAGTTCAAAGAAGTAACTTCAGTACTGAAATTTTTAAGCATTGTAATTGGGAAAAAAGGAGAATTGCCTAAAAAAATTGCTAATCCTCCCTCTCCCCTCCACACACAGCAGAGAGAATGGAGTGGAAGGGATTATAAGAAGTAAGCAGCACACAATGGGGTATACAGCAGGCGGTTTATGTAGTACACTCGTGACTCCTAGTGCCAGTGCATTCCTTTGGATGTAATTCCCCATAATGTGCCTTCCTACTTACTCACTTATAATCCCTTCTTCTCCAATGAATGTAACTAGAAACATGAATTCCCTTCTTGCTAATTATCCCAGCGTTGGGCAGAACATTTAAGAGGTGGGAGAGTGGGGAAAAGAAAAGCGTAGTCCCGGTTGTGTGATTTGCCAGTTAGCCACTATTCTGCTTAATGACAGAGCTGCCAGTCCTAACTGTGGTCCTTAAATGAGAATTACCTGTACACTATAATTAAGAATCTTAATTTGAATGACCCTGACCATTAAAATGATTAGCACACATAAATTTACAGATATGATTCAACTAAAGATTATTACTGAAAGTCCTTTAAAAACATAGTTACCTGTTGTCCATGTTGAAGCATCGGGACCCCATACCCACTAGCTGGTGAATGTGTTAGTGGTAAAGATTTCAGCATCATGTTCTGCATAATGATTTGGTGCATCTGTGCATTTTGCATTAGCATCATTTCTACCATATCTATAAAGGATAAAGGACAATTTAAGCCCACCCTATGGTTATAACGGAGAACATAATGTAATCCAAACGGTGAAGTACAGCCTTTTGAACAGCATAATCTCTTAGATCAATACTCTTTTTTAAAGCAACCAGCCTAGTGTTAGCTGAGCTGCAAAATTTATATTTTAAAAGTACGAACAATAACACATGTTAAGAACTTGAATATGTTACACAATGGACGTACTACATATGTACACAGTGTGCCTCAACAAAGAAGGAAATAATTACTTCAATAATTCCTTTAAGTTTAAAGTCTATAAATGATTCAAAGACTCTGAAGTTTGCTAAGGAAAGAACATTATAAGTATTTCAACTGAATGAAAAAAAATCAAGGTTCCTAACTACTTGCCTACATTATATCAGAGTAATATTAGTTTAGTAGCGCTCTGTATTTAGAATGTGTAGAGTGCTCAAGTATCATCTTTTGTAGCTCCTTAAAGCAGCCACATCTTTGCCACTTTTCTCAGCTATTCTCTAGACCTGTACTGGGTCCCAGGAAAATATGGCATTGGAGAAGCTGAAGACAACTGCCCCGTGCATGCTATTGTGGTAGCCAATTTGATCTAGTGGTTAAGGCATTAGGCTAGAAAGCAAGAGCAAGTGAGTTCAAATCCTGCCTTGGCCAGGAAAGCCAGCTGGGTAGCCTGTAATTCTCTCTCAAACCAGCCCACCTCACAGGATTGTCATTGTGGGGAAAATAGGAGGAGGAAGGTTTGTTGGATATGTTCATGCCTTGAGGTATGTAAAAATAATAAAGGCAGGAAATAAATACATTCTCAAAGGCACCATTCTGCCTTCTGTTGCCTATGCCTGCCATTTTGATGCTGTTGATCCTTCCTGCAGACATCCTTGCCAGTATGGTAAAGTTGTCAGGGAAACTGCCATGAATGGTTTTATTTATTTTCAATGCTACGCTAGTTCAGTTGTGTGACTAAATCTTTTCTGTCCCTTTATTTATATATTTGGATTGTCTGATTGTAATTTAAGATTAGCACTTGTATTGTATGCAGATCTAGATTTCGTGTCACTTGGTGCCATTATCTTATCCACAAGTCCTTGCTTTGTTGCATGTATTAAATTTATCCAGTACATAACACACACATACACAGAGAAGTTATTACAGTAAAGGGTAAAGTAAGCTCCTCTTATTCTATCAGACTAATTCTACAAAGAATCTTTCCATAGCTATCTTTACTTTTTAAATTGCATCCCCAAACTTTATAAGTGGGAAAATTAAAAGAGAATATTTGACACTCTCCATGGCATTTTATTTAAAAGTTGAGACCCAATTTAGTCTAGTGGTTAAGGCACCAGGTTAGAAATTGGCAGACTGTGAGTTCCAGTCCCCAAAGCCAGCTGGGTGATCTTGGGCCAGTCATTCTCTCTCAGCCCTGGGAAGAAGGCAAGGACAAAGCACTTCTGAAAAAACTTTGCCAAGAAAATTGCAGGGGCTTGTTCAGACAGTGTCCAAGAATCGAACACAATTGAAAGAAAAAATCTTGTTAGTCTCCCTGAATCCAACTGATCCTACTCTTGAATTTGGGTACATAGATGGGAACCATATCAACAATCCCATCCATGTTCTGTCCAATGGACTTAATTCTGAGTCAATTTGCATAGAGTTGTAGCTCTGCAGCATACTGTAAGATATATTTCCTAGGACTTGAAGTTAGTTCTACTATATTAAATGAGAGTTATTCCTACATAGTGTACACATAGTTATAGTTTTTGAGCACAAATACCTTCTTTAATATTCCCAGATCTAGGTACTGAAAATGACTGTGGAGATGGAATCTGTGTAATGAGTGGTGGCTGATATGAAGGTATTTGTTGAATTATGGTTGCTGGTTGCTGTGGTAACTTGCAAAAGAAAAAAGATGGAAAAAGAATAGTTAAAGAATAAACCGTAGCTCCATTCTTATATCTGTAGCTGAACTAAGTTAATAGACAACATATTAAACAATTAAAATGTTATACTTACATGGAATTCACTGAGCAAACCAACAGTGAAAGCTAAGAAGAGTTTAATGAAGAAAAGAAAGGCCAGCAAAGCTGTATGTTCTGAAGAATTGTATGCTGATTCGTGAACATTGAAAAGATCATCACAGAAGAAAATCATTACAAAGAAGTGGGAAATTAGATTAGATTTAACAATAGAGGGAGAAATACAACACAAGCATTTTAAATATAACTTATTTTATTTCGTCTTCTATGTTGATAGCTGTCCAGAGCAGCATTTGTAGCAGCCATATAAATTAATTTGATAATATGTAATATAACATAACAACATAAAATAACAATAAACATGTTTATGAGTATTACTTTCCATGTGTTTTCTTCTATTAAAAATGACAGATGGTCATGATTGATACAATTCTAAGAGTTGTATCTAAGGTTTTGGGATCTCAAATTATGCTACTCAAATTGAATGTACCAATGGTAAAGTGCTTTAATGTATACACTGTTGGACCATTCACCAATTAATATGAGGTGTCATCTTCAACTTAATTTGTTAAATTTTGTTAAGTTTTAGTTCATCAGGAATTGCCATTTAATCACGGCACAACAGAGTAATTTGGCCTACTTGATATGCAGAAATCTGCATAGCCTAATATGCAGAAATTAGATAGTGAATATCTTACAGTTCTCATTAACATCTGCAATCAAGATGCTAGTTATAAAATCTGGAACCAACCCTATTCCAATAACATCCCAAGAGATCTTATGAAATCATGATGTACTGGTGAAATAATGTTCCAGACTTGTCACATAATGAAGTTGGTTTTGCTTGGATTAGTTTGATTTTTTTTTATTCCTTCTTGAAATAAAGCAGAAAACACTTACTGTTTGCTGGATAATTCTTGGTTGTTGAGGTATAGGGGGAGGGGGAGGGGGAGGGGGAGCAGGAGGAGGAAGAGGAGGAGGAGGAGGAGAAGGAGGAGGAGGAGGAGGAGGAATTTGGTAGATATGATGTGGCTCCAAGGGCTTTTTATGAATTCTGGGTAAACCTTGTGGTACTGAAAGTTCTTCCAAAAGATTTTGTTCCTATAATACAAAGTATAGTTTTTCTAAACTCATATATTTGCTTAAAGAAAACCAACCTGTAACAAGACAGAAGCTGAAGACATTTCCAGTATATAATCTTTTCTTGCTAAAGACATTAGCAAAAAAATGAACATTAAACTTTTCATTAATTGTACTCAACATATTGGACGGAAATAGATGAGATACTGCACAACTCCACCTCCCAATTTTATCAAACTTTAAAAGTGCTATAAGAGATTTTCCTTTTCAAAAAAAGAATCATGATGCAAAAAATGGGTTTTCTTACCTCCCCTCCCAAATGTATCTACTCAAAATTACTTTGCTTTTCCCTAGAATTTTTACTTTTCTTAAATTTTCACTACACCTTATCTAAACTAAAAATATTAGCTGGCAAAGAACTGAACTACATTATGTTAACATTGTATTAACGTAGTAAAAATGAGCAAAAGGAAGCATATTTTATTCCATTTTTTTAAAGAAAACGATAAGAATTAGGGATATCATACTCTGAGCTGCTGTAGAAGATATTTCCGTCTTCTCAGTGCACTTTGTAAGGCGTAGCCATAATTGTCATAATTTCCTGCAAAAAAAATTGTGGGTGACATTAATATCACATTTAAAAAGGAGTGAAGAGAAAAGACAGAGTAAAACTGGCATATTACTCTTCATGCAGAACAGTCTGAACAACCATTCACTCGTTAGGAGGCAATGGATATCCTGAGCAGCCCGCAGTGTTTCTCAACCTTGACAATTTTAAGGCATGTGGACTTCAACTCCCAGAATTCCACAGCCAGCAAAGCTGGCTGTGGAATTCTGGGAGCTGAAGTCCACATGCCTTAAAATTGTCAAGGTTGAGAAACACTGGAGGCTTTCTCCATTGGGCGAGCACAGGTCGGAACAAGGCACAAGCAAATGTGTTGCTTCTGCTTGGGAGCAGAGGGACCGGAAAGGCTCTAATTCTCCCCAGAACCCCATTTAGATTACTCTCCCATTTGGAAACTGTCACTGCTTCATCTTGGCTGCTGGGAAAGCTCCAAAGGTTCTGTCATATATGCTGATGCTCTACAGACTGTAGCAGGAGGGGATAATAACATCTCCAGTCACTCGCATCCATCCTTTCATGGTAGGAAGTTGTAGCCACTGTAAAAATTGTTGGAAACAGGATGTTCTTTTCTTCTGCCATCCCCAACACCCTCCTTAAAAGAAGTCAAAGCAGCTACTACAAATCTGCACAATTCAAAAATGTATCCCTCCGCTTAAAGAAGATCTTGAAGCTGACATTTGGAGCCCATAGAGAAAGAACTGGGAAAGGAGGGCTTTTGGCAAGGGCTTCTGCAACTCAAAGCCAATCCGTGTTTGTTATTTATTTATTTATTTAACAATATTTGTAATCTATCCCAGATATGATGGTCTCCGAGCAGTTAATAATAAATTATAAACACATTCAACAGATAATAAAAAGTAATAAGAACAATATACAATGTATTAACATACTAAGAAAGAGGTAAGTACTGCTACATGGAGATTTCAGTTTAATGGCACAGGACAGCGCTAGAAGTAGATATGCACAGACCTTCAATCCTAGTGTTAAGTACTTCGTTCGTGTGCAAATGATGAATACACATGGCAAAGTTAAACACTCTTTATTCTCCTTACAACAACACCCGAACGAACGGCAAAAGGCACGCAGGCCTCTTTATGTGTCCAGAGATCCGGACAATGGCAAACAAAGTAACAGAGCGTTTTCACACTTTGCGCATGCGCACAAGGCCGACACCACTCAGTCTGGTCCTGGGCAGCTTTTGGAATGCCCGGGACCAATGCAACGTCCTGAGCCTGCTTTTGCAGGCTCAGGACACAACATCCCTTCTCCCCTAGATGGAACATACCTGCGCACACACATGTACGTCATACCTTGGAAGAGTGTTATATAGTTTCATTAATCAAATGCAAGGAATGTGGAATACTCGAGTCTGCCCTCAGGCAAAACCCCTTCAACTTTGTTCATGCAATAAATGTATCCAAAATCAAAAAAATAATACAAAATAATCTACCCGTCATTCAGGGACCTCATGAACAGAACCCTTGTGACTTGACAGCAACTTCACAAATTCTCTAAGATGTTTGGGTGGGCACTTGGCCCTCTGCGACCTTCTAAGGCCAGGAGAGATTGCCTGACCCACCTGCTCGCCTACCAGGTGAGGCAGGCCAGGGTGTTCCTGCCTTAAATCCCCAGGTGACCCCGGTGAGGGTGCCTGGCCTACCTGCTCACCTACCAGGCTAGGCAAGCCAGGACTTTGCTGCCCCAAATACCCGGTTGATCCGCCCATCTGCTGGCTGGCAGGACCCTCTAAGTCCAAGCCAGCATATCTTGGAGGGGTGGAAATCTCCGGGTCCACAATGGACCCTTCTTGGGAACACTGTCCCTCAAACCCAAGGCCAGCAGATGGAGAGTGCTGGGTAGCGGAAGTGCCCCAGTACTCTGTGGCCCCCAAGCACATGCCCAAGGTGCCAGAGTCAGGAGTCGCCTCCATGGCAACCCCTTTTGCTGGTGACCTCCTTTTGGGAGCAATTGCAGAATTTGACAAGCGCCTATTCTTTTTCTCTTGCTGCTTGTGATTTGTGTGGATACCCCCAGTCAGTCTCCCTGTCTGGAGCACTATCTGACATATATGAATACTGTGGATACCCCCAGTGTGACTCCTTGTCTGGAGTGATTATGGATGTGTGGGATGACCCCCTATCCTGTGAATTCCTGTTAGGAGCACTTGCGGAACCTTGGGATGAATCCCAAATAGCCTCAGTAGCGGCTAGTGATGGCCTGTTGGGCCTGTGAAACTGAGCCTCAGAATGCATGTTATGGTCCTCCTCCCCCCCCCCAGAGCATAGCCAGGAGCGGAAGGGTGAGAATCCAGTCTCCAACGCAGTTGGTCTATGTGTCTGCGAAAAACGTGCCCGTCTCCCAAGGCAACTTCGTATGACAACGGCCCAGAGACCTTGCAGACCACAGCTGTGACCCAGAGATGACCAGGCCCATAGTTTGGTGCCCAGACCGGATCGCCCACATGGAGTCTCCTAGGTGCCCGTGGTTGTGACACCTGTGAAGCCACCCGGTCAGAGTGCAACTTGTCCAGTTTAGTGATGAGGCGGCGGCCTCAGCGGAGTTCAGCAGGGCTCTTCCCTGTGGCAGTGCATGGTGTGGTGCAGTGTGCAAGAAGGAAATCTGCTAACCTGTGATGCCAGTTACCGTAAGTCAGTTTCTTGAGGGCATCTTTGGTGGTGCGCACCATTCTCTTTGCCAGTCCGTTGGAGGATGGGTGGAAGGGAGCCAATGTTGCATGCCGGATCAGATTGGCCTGAAGAAAAGCCTGGAACTCCGAAGAGGTAAATTGAGGGCCAGTATCTGAAACCAGAACATCTGGAAGACCATGTGATGCAAAAATTCCTCTAACACCTGGATGGTCCTGGCAGTAGTAATGGAGGAAACAGGAACAATCTCTAGCCACTTGGAATGGCTATCAACAACCAGGAAGAATTGCCCCTAAAAGGGCCCAGCATAATCTATGCACCCTAGACCATGGGGTTTGAGTTTCCTCCCACCTATGTACTGGTGCCTGAGGCATTTCAGGCTGGGACTGTTGGCACACTTGGCACCCGTGCACCTGGGCCTTGATGGCTTTATCGAGGCCAGGCCACCAAAGATGGCTGCGCACAAGCGCTTTCATCCTGACTATACCAGGATGTCCCTCATGCAGGGAGATCAGGATTCTAGACCTCAATGAGGCTGGGATCACTATCATGCTACCCTATAACAGGCAACCCTTGAAAGTGGAAAACTCATACTTCTTGAGCCAGAAGCTCTGGAACTCAGTATCTGGGCACTTGTCAGACCATCCTGACAATACCCACGTCAGCACGCATGTAAGCGTGTGATCAATGGCAGTTTCTGCAGCCACATCCCTAGCATTGAGGGAAGACTAGGCAACTCCTGAATGGACAGAATATTAATGGCTGGAGCAGGATCTGGCTCCAATTGATTCAGGGGTATAGTCTGCTCAGGCCATCTGCATGACCTATCTCTTTTCCTGGTTTGTGAACTAATGTATAATCATGTGCTGACAGGAAAATGGACCATCTCAGCATACGAGGAGAAATGATATGTGGGGTCTGTTTGTTAGTGGTAAACAAACCCAGCAGAGGCTTATGGTCAGTACAGACCATGAAATGGTGGCCATATTAGAAATCATGAAATTTCTTAATGCCAACCACTATGGCCAAGGCTTCTCTGTCAATTTGAGCGTAATTTCGGTCTGCAGATGACAGAGTCCTTGAATAATAAGCCACAGGGACCTGTGTCCCATCAGCCTTCAGATGGCTGAGTACACCTCCCACCCCATAAGGACATGCATTAAATGCGATGCACACAGGCAGTTGCTCATTGAAATGCGCTAAAACAGCATTAGAAGTGAGCAAGGCCTTAACCTCATTGAAACTCTTGTCATGGACTTTAGTCCACTGCCAAGGAGCCTGCTTGTCTAAGAGCCTGTGTAATGGGTCTGCCACTGCAGCTTTATGTGGGAGAAATGTATGGTAAAAATTTAATAGCCCCAAGAAAGTTGCAGCTCACTCTTAGACTTAGGGCTTGGGGCCTTCTGGATAGCTTGCAATTTAGTTTCAGCAGGGTGAATGCCTTGAGCATCTATCCTGAATCCTAAGAAGTCAGTAGAGATGACTCCTATCTTACATTTATCCTTCTTTAGTTTAAGGCCTGCTTTTCGAAAACGAAGCAAGACAGCCCTTAATCTCTCTGCTAAATTTTGAGATGACTCCCCAGCAATGACGACATCATCAAAGTAGGGACAGACTCCAGGAATACCTCGAAGTGTGCTCTCCATAACACTTTGGAATATGCCAGGGGCTACATTTACCCCAAATTGCAGTCTCTTGACCTTGAAGGCCACCCTGTGAGTTACGAATAGTCTGGGCCTCTGCAGCTGCCTCATTAACAGGTAGCTGTTGATAGGCGTGTGCCAGGTCAAGCTTCGCAAAAATGTGCCCCCCTCCTTTAGGGAGGCCAAAATGTGACTTACCACAGGCACTGGATAAGCGTGCTATTGCAGCGCCTTATTCAGTGTGCACTTGTAGTCTGCACATATACATATGTCCTCATTAGCCTTTAGAGGCATTACTATGGAGGTTTCCCATGGACTTGGATCCATAGGTTCTAGAATGCCCTGCTGGAGCAATTTGTCCAGCTCAGCATCAATCGTGCCTTTGAGGGTAAAAGGTACCCTCCTAGGCTTAACCCTGATGGGCGTGATTGTTGGGTCTAACCGTAGTGAAATTGGAGGCCCCTTGTAGGATCCCAGCTCTGAACTAAACACATCTGCAAACTCCTTGCAGATTTCTGCAAGGCTCAACGTTTGCAAATGGTGCAGCCCAGTTACCTGGATTCCCAGAGCCTGAAACCAATCGAGTCCAATAAGACTCATACATTCACCCCCAACAACCACCACATCTAAGGGACCTTCAAAATCCTTATGCTATACTCTAAGGGTGGCCTCCCACTTAACACACACC